GCTCTTCCCAGCTCTTCTGATATTTGTTGTTATGAAATGACAATAAATCAGAACGCAACAAAACTTACTGATCAAGCAGAAATGATCAAAAATCGGTTGGTTAGAGAGGTCAAACCTACTCAAAACCTTTTAGAAACTAATATCTCTGCACTGCTGCCAGTGCTGCTCAATGAGTCAGTGTCACAGGGGGCTTCAACAGCACCTCTCCACATAAAGACAAGTTTTGGAGCAGATTTCTACGACAAAGATTTTGGGGGAAAAAGGTGCATAGCGTAGCTTATAGTTGTATTTTCTTTCTGATCAAAAAGAAAAAGAAATAATAATATAATAATCTCCATTCAGAATGAGGAAATGTTTCCCATTTGGTACCATTTTTGTGCCTTCACTTGTTGTTAATTCTTCTGCCAACCTTTTTTAGTGATCACCTGACAATGTTATCTGTTATAATAGTTCTTTTAGTTTGGTATATGGGCATGTGTAGAGTGACACTAGAGAGTCAGTGATTACTGCCAGACATGGAGAACTGGTCTATCCTGTTATCAGCCATTGATTTGATGCAGTCGGAGGCACCAGGAGAGTCTTTTCACAGAATAACAAAATAGAGAGAAGTCACAGATGTGTGCATTGCAGAAAGGAGACGTGGGGTATAGTCAGAATATTGCACCCCATCTTTAGAGAAAATCAGCAGTGAAACCACTTCCCTGTAATGGAAGGAGGAGTGTGGTTAACATCCGGCCAACTAATCTCATTATCAGAATGGCAGCGGTGTCAATTTTACTGGCTACCATGAACTGCAAAGCTTTGGTAATGGTTAATGTCTCTTAGCTCTGACTTTGCTATCACCACACACATCAAATGCTCCAACTGTGCATATGCCTTCATGATGTAAATAAATACATATACACTCATAAAAATGAGTCACACGACAAGGCAGATGCCAAAGTGATGTGCTTATAAAGTAGCTATTGTAGCTACCATGATGAATTTCCCCACCGAGTGAATGACAGTGTTTATTGTATAAAGGTATAAAGGTTTGTCGCACAGTAGAGCATCAGTGGAAATGCATCAGTCTTCAAGATGACAATCAATATGAATGCCAGAGCTACCGACTTTTCAAACCTTACATATAGTCACTGTAGTCCTAGAATCGTGTTTAACACCATCAGTAATAGTGTCATTTGTGCATCACATGCTGTTCCAGCGGTCGACCACCATATCTTGGTAGAGAGGCTTGGGCAGTGGTTGGGTATCTCTGATCAGTCTTGCAGTGGCTTTCCTGCTGCCTTTTGGAAGGAGCTTTTCAGTTACTGTTAAGAACTGCAGTGGCTTTAGAAAGCATTCTGATGCTCTCACTTTGTGCACACTCTGTGTTTTTAAATGATATAATTGCAACTTTGATTCATCGATCTACACTCAACAATTCATAATGACTGAAATGTTTTTAAGAATTTTTGCACATATCTCATTTAATGAAGTATTCAGACTCTTGTGACACTTCTACAGTAATTGTTGTCAGGTCCATCCTGTTTGCTTTAATTTTATATGAGATGTAAGGATTGGTGTCCACTTGTGGCAAACTGAATTAACTGGACATTGTTTAGAAAGGCGGAGGTGCCTAAAGTGTATTTTTCTAAAATCTATGCACCAACTTGTCAATTAAGACTTTCCACTCTATTCATTTTGAGGCCTCTGGAAATTAAGTAGGCCTATGTCGTTGTTCTCTGATGCTTATAATTAGTTCGTGCTCTTCATCCAGTTCATTATAACTACTTCATATTTTACCCTTAATATACTCTACAGCATTGCCCTCTCCACCTACCTCTATGTCATTCTGACTGTTATTTGCCTTGGCTTCTGTCAGTATGGCTCTTTAAGTGCTCGGAACCATCTGGCTCTGTGCAAACAGTAAAACTTTGTCGCTTTGACGGTATAAAGTGATTAAAGCTACAGTTTCATTTTGATGCTTTTATGATATTTCTGTCCTATATTGCCTCTGTTCTCTAAGAAAAAAAAAAAACAGAATGCACTCAACTCTGCAGTACAAAAGAAAACATCCTCTGCCATGATGACTAATCGCATTTGATTTAATGACCTCTCAAGAAAAAAAATAGCTTGTCTTTTTAAAGTTTTCCTGATACTGCCTCTCTGTGTGTCTGTGTGTTTCAGTGTCTCTCCACACAGTCTGTCCCTATAGTGTTTGCATTTACCCCCTTTTTGTGTTCTTTTATTCTCTCTCACTTTCCCTTTACTTTTTCCACTTCTTTCTCTCACTCTCCCTTACTCACCAAGGATACTGAAGAATAGGCCAGCAGCCTGAGG